ACCTTCCGACCGAAAGCTGCTACCTTGACGTGGTGGTCGGGCTTGAACACCGCAATGACCTAATCAAGCTATACTGGCTGAGACTTATGTCTCTTGAGGTTCTACCATGCCAGGCAGGTTGTTTGGATAGCGGTTAAACAAAAAGCAGCTACCCAATCCAACATCATGTCCAATACAAAATTACAAAATTTCATGCCGGATCGGCCGTGGCCCGGATTAACAACGACCGCGCTTCCTGCTGCCGTGTCACAGGGCGGGAGTGATAAATCTGCTACTGAGACACACCAAACAAAAAAGAACGAACAAAAACAGGCCGCGTGTGACCGGCCTCAAGCAGTTGTCCCCTGGGCTCTGCGGTCACGCAACCAACTTCCACGGTGTGGGCAGCCGGGAAGTAACAATCGCCCTCACAATCCGAAATGCACACGAAACCTCTCTATTACTCACTCATCTTTGTCTTCATCTTCATCTCTATCATCTTGCCTTCCTTCCACTGATGCAACTCCTCGACTTGATAGCTCTCCACTTCCTCTCCACTCTGCGTCCACTAAAAACGATGGAAGCCAAAAAACCACCACCGACAGCCTCTTAAAGCCGCGCCACCAATTTCATATAGGAGCTCTTAATGTTAGGACACTTTGCCAAATAGGACAACAAGCATCACTAGCCAAGACCCTGGCATCACGAGCCATTGATGTATGCTGTGTTTCAGAAACACGCATACAAGACCCAAGTGTGGTTATTCACCTAACCCCACCTGGCCAACAGGTTGAATCTGCAAAATTCACCTTGAGGGTGTCAGGAGATGCCACAGCTAGTTCACGAGGATTAGCTGGCGTAGGGATAGCTTTGAGTACTAGGGCAGAAAAGACATTGCTTGACTGGATCCCGGTAGATAGCCGAATGTGTGCTGTCCGCCTGAACGGATCAGTAAGAAGGAGGAAGGACTGCACTACTCGCCGATGCCTTTTCGTAATCTCCGCCTACGCCCCCACTGACTGCAGTTCAGATGAAACGAAGGATGAGTTCTACCAAAAGCTGTCTAGTTTGGTGGAAAGGCTAAACGCTCAGACATAGTCGTTCTAGCTGGTGACTTTAACGCTCAAGTAGGGAAATTGTGTCAATCTGAGAAGGATGTCGGTGGCACCTATGGAGTTCCGTGCCAGCGAACCGACAACGGTGACCGTCTCCTACAGTTCTGCTCTGATAATCATTTGTTTCTTGTAAGCACTAACTTTAAACACAAGGAGAGACACTGTTTGACTTGGAGACCCCCTTCATCAAACCAACGCTGGACACAAATAGACCACATAGCAATAAGCTATCGTTGGCGTGGGTCGGTAGGAGATTGTCGCTCCTTCTGGAACACGTGCGTAGATACCGACCATGCACTGGTCCGCGCTCGGGTGTGCTTACGACTGAACGGACGTAGGAAACAGCTGGCGGTAAAACCATCACGTCCCCAGCTCGATCAGGAAACTAAATCCGTATTTGAGGAAGAACTAGCTAAACACATATCTGTGTTCGACAGCTGTGCTCACCCTGAAGAAGCTTGGAAAAATATCCAGGCAGCCATAGATACAGCTGTAAAAGCTGTGAATAAGGTAAACCCAAAGGTGAGTAAAAACCACTGGATCTCCACCGCCTCATCCGAACTGATAGATGCTAGAAGACTTATTCCGGCGAGCTCCGAATTCAATGAGGAGCGAAAGCTGCACAAGAGGAAACTTACGAAAAGTCTCCGCAAGGACCGTGAACAGTGGTGGGCGACAAAAGCCAAAGAGATGGAGAAAGCTTTGAGGATAGGCAACACCAGGCAACTCTTTGGACTCATCAGGGAAACGGGTGGGAGAAGACAAATCATTAGTGAGACAATCTCGGAAAAAAATGGCACTATAATTAGCTCACAGGATAGACGACTGGATCGTTGGAAAGAGCATTATGAGGAGCAGTTTAATTTGCCCACAGCCACGCTCAACCTTCCGAGCATCCAACACCTCCCTGAATGGGATATAGACACAGGTCCTCCGTCACTAACTGAGGTTACTAAAGCTGTCACCAATCTGAAACTAGGCAAAGCAGCGGGACCTGATGGAATGACTCCAGAGGTATTTAAGTACGGTGGAGACAGCTTACTGTCCGGATTAACTGAGGTACTAGGCAGCGTCTGGGAATCAGAAGAAGTCCCATCGGGTTGGTGTAAGTCACTGATTATCCCCATATACAAGAAGGGAGACAAGTCTTCCTGTGATAATCACAGAGGGATTAGCTTGACTAATATAGTATCTAAAGTCTTAGGCTCAATAATCATGCGTAGACTGAGTGGTGCTCGGGAAGCACAAACACGAGAGAGCCAGGCAGGCTTTAGACCAGGAAGAGGGTGTATTGATCATATCTTCACCCTCCGACAGATTCTAGAACATAGGCATTCCTACCGGCGTCCAACAGTCATTATATTTCTTGACCTAAAGGCAGCATTCGACTCTGTCGATCGGGAAGTTCTCTGGAGATGCTTGGCTGTAAAGGGAATTCCAAGAAAATATATTGCACTGATTAAGGCACTCTACTCGTACTCATACAGCCAGGTGAGGGCTTACGGCGAGCTGTCATCTGAACTGATGACGACCAGTGGTGTCCGTCAAGGATGCCCATTATCTCCTTTTCTATTCAACTTCATCATAGATGTGTTAATGGACTTAACCCTAGGTGACTTCAGCGACTCAGGGATTGACTTGCTACCGGGAATAATCTCGTTGACTTGGAATATGCAGACGATATAGTCCTTCTAGGCGAAGACGCTGACGAAATGCAGAGTCTTCTAAACACCTTGAGCCGCAATCTACGAATGTTTGGCATGCGATTCGCTCCCGCCAAATGCAAGATGATGTTACAGGACTGGACTACATCGACGCCTAGTTTAAAAATAGGAAGTGAAGTGGTAGAGCACGTTGACCGCTTCACTTATTTGGGAAGTACCATCAGCCCCAACGGGCTGATCTCTGACGAAATCTCAGCACGAATACAAGGGGCTCGTTTCGCATTTGTTAGTTTACGCCGACTCTGGCGTAGACGAGATGTTCGACTATCGACCAAAGGGCGGGTGTACTGCTCATCAGTCCGCTCCGTCCTCCTTTATGGTTGTGAGACCTGGCCACTGAGAGTGGAAGACATGAAAAGACTAGCTGTCTTTGATCATAGGTGCCTGCGTTCTATTTCCCGTGTAAAGTGGCATAATAAGGTGAGCAACATGGAGGTTAGGCGTAGAGTTCTAGGTAAACAGGGGAAATCAATCGACGAAGTCGTGAAGCTACAAAGACTGAGATGGTTAGGACATGTGTTACGTATGCCAAGCCATCGCCTCCCTCGACGAGCAATGTTAGCGGATATAGGGTCAGGCTGGAAAAAAGCTAGCGGCGGTCAAACAAAAACTTGGCATCAGTCAATGAAATCCACAACAGTTGGTCTAAGCCACGTAGGAAGGTGTAGACTTCCAGGCTGGGGTCCTCGGGACGGTAAAAATCTATGGTTGGAAACAATTGGTGACATGGCTCAAAATCGTTCTCAGTGGCGCAGATGCATCCACTCCTTGTGACTTATGATCTTCAATGAAACTGTTTTGTATTTCTTTATTACTCCTTTGTCTCACACCTCTGCTCACTGTTTCTATTATGCTTTTCTTGTACTTTCTTCTCTTGCTTCGCGTGCTACACGGAATGTGGCGACTTGAACTTCCGCACATTTGTGCAAAGTTCTATGTCGAAAACAGACAGACAGACAGACCAACCTTCACCTGTTTAGTTAAAAGTAACCTTAACCAATTGTAATTTTGTTTGAAAAACTTAATGTACACATACATACAAAACAACACATATATATATTTGCGATTGTACGGCTAAGAAAATGAATTCGCCGAAAAGAGACTCTTCGCTGACCTACGTGTTTTGCTTTCATTAAATCAATAGACACCGTTATAAAATAAAGTTAAGAAATCCACAGTGGATTTTATACGCCGAATGTAACCGTTTCTAAATGAGTCTAAATGGTTGAATTTACACATATATTAAGAGTCCTTTTTTATATATATTTATTTTTGTAATCCCTTTATTCTCTCGTTTTTATTCAACTATTTCCAAAAAATTATTGACCACTGTATAGTTTTGAAGTAAAGTTACCTACCACCGTTGTTAATTCAACCACTGGCACTAGCGCGCTAAATCACGAATTGATAGAAGTTAGAATTCATACACTGTCCATTGAATCAAGTCCAGCCCAGTGGCTGAATGGTATACGAGCTAGCTTGCCTTGTAACCAGAAGGTTCTGGGCTGGAACCCCTGTAGTGTGGGTGCATACTGCCGATGATTCCCAGAACTAGGCAGACGAAACAGCTGTCCAGTACTCCCAGCTGTGGTTTTCAATAGTTCTTCTCTAACATTATGTCAATCCGTGGTCACACTCGTAAAAAAAGGAAATAAATCTAATCCTTACAAACCAAACTCTTAACAATGTCGAATAATTTAATTTGTGGATGGTGACTAGCAGTGGAATCCTGGATGCGTATTTCGTCCTATTTGGGACTCGTCTCCCAGCCGGATGTACTTGCATTTCTCAGTGAGGGACGAAATGCGCGTTATCCTGCCTGGATTCCACTGCTAGTCACTATCATCTACAAATTAAAATCTAATTAAATGCACAGACATCGTCGAAGGAAGCATCTGCACAAGAAGCCAACAGACATGTCAACCTGAGATGGAGCACTTCGGTCCAATCAATATCGACGGGGAAAATCTCAAATTCAATTAAGTGTCGAATAAGTCGATGAGTTATAATTTCTACTGATTTTTGGTATATATGTAGACGTTCACCGCGCCAGTCATACTTGTCACCGGTGACAAGTGTCTGCCCTAATTCATATCCAAGTTGGCAATTTATTTCGCGTTTTAATTTATCCATTATACTAATCTCTCTCTGTCTCTCTCTCTGCTTGTCTCTTCTCTCATAGGATTGGATGCGTGCTATCAGTCGATGTAGTATTGAATATATAACATTAACATTGGAAGATTTAGAAGATCACTACAAAGCATTGAGTACAGTAAAACAAGCCTCATCATCTGTTAGTAATAATAAATCTCCATCCCTTGGCGGTAGTAATAATTCATCTTTTTCATTAACTAAAACATCATCAATATTTTCAAAACGACGTTCAAATCCATTTAATAATAATAATAATCGAAGTAACAGTACAAGTAGTACTACAACTAATTCTCCTCCAATCATTTCTGATGTTCCTACATCTACTCCTTTAACAAATAATCAATCAGATAAACAATTATCCAAGACGAATTCATCACAGAATAGTAACTCTTTATTAAATCAATCGAAAAAGTCACCACCCCCTCAACCTGCTCGTCCACCACCACCGCCACCCCCACAAGCACGACCACAACCACCCTCTCTGACACATACTCAGTGGTTATTAACACAGAATTGGGAACAGCTGAATGCTTCATTGAAAGCAGAATTTCTTAAATCTAATGGTGATGATAATGAAAATCAAACAAGTGATTCCAAAAATAGCAACATCAACAGCAACAAGACAATAACTGACCATGTAAATTAGACTATGTTGAACAACCACCTCTCTCCCCTCGCCTACAGTTTCAACTGCCCTACGTTCCTTATTCTTCTTCTTGCCTTTGTGATATATTTCTGCCTTACCACACCTTATTAAAATGGCAATTTTATGTAAATACCACCCAATTGGATTTCATTTATTCTCTGATTGAGTTGACATTTCAATTGACGAACGTTTCATTGTCAAGTTAGACTTCATATTCAATACTGATGGCGATTGATAAATATCCATATCACTCCTACTTCCCAACTCTTCTCCTTTCGGATTTGTTTTGCTGCATAAACTGTTTTCTCTCTGTCTCTCACCACTATTGTTTGTTTAAAATGCTTAAAATAAATAAGTAAATGATGCGCGCCTTATTTAAATCTTGCATACAATAGGAAGTATTGATTGATTGATTGATTTTTTCTTGAATAACAGTAAAACACAGCTGATTGGTTAAGATGGTTGGTTGGTTCATTTCTACTTCGTTTATTATTTTTATTTGTACCAAATAATTTCAAGTAATTCACCAACACCATTAATAATTACTGATAAAAAAAAAATAGACAACTGACTTTAACACTTTTTGTTCCTTTTACTTTAACTGTTTATATTAATAAATATAATTTATGATTATTGATGTCATTGAAGATGTTGTTTATTAAAAAGTTGTGAGTTTTATTATCTAACTCGTTTCTTTTGATTATTACAAATGTGTCGTCGACGTAGCGTGTGTCTAAATCTTGGGTTTGATCTTTGGTTTGGTAGAATTATGTTTTCGAACCCCTTGGCATCACTCACTGCTTCTGCAATCAAATCTGATATTGCCGATCCATCCCATGGTTGTTCCTTTGACTTGTTCATATATTTGGTCGTTGAATTGGAAGTATGTTGTTAGGCATAGGTTTATGCATTCCATCCAGCTTGTGTGTGTTGCATTTTTGGTTGTTGTGCAAGTGGGTGTTCGTCGTTGCTAAGTAATTGCTCTATGGTTTATTTTGCTAGTTTTTGTCCGATTGAGGTATATAATGCTGGGACGTCGAAGGATACCATTATTTTTTGTTCATCTATTTGGATACCTCTGATTTTCTCTAGGAATTGGATAGCAGAGTTGATGGAGTGATCACAAGACTCCGTTAGGTGTTTTAGTTTTCTGTATAATTCTTTGGATAAATTATATGTTGGAGTTCCTGGGAGTGATACAATTGGTCGTAACAGGATATTTGGCTTGTGTATTTTGGGTCTTCCGTAGAATAGGAGTAGGACTAGTCCATTGGATTTCATTCGCCATTGGTCTTGTTTTGTGATCTGTCCAGTTTTGGTGAGCTTGTTTAAGGTCCTTCGGATGCGGTTATCCACTTTTTGTATGGGATTTGTTGGGAGTTGTTGATATACATCCTCTTCTTTGAGTAGTTCTTCAGCTTTCTTGGTGTATTCTTCTCTGTCCATGACTATTGTTGTTCTTCCTTTATCGGCTGGTAGAATGACGATGTCCTTCCTACTTTTCAGCTTTTTGAGCGCGTTTAGTTCTTGAGAATTGAGTTGTGTGTGTTGTTTTTTCTGTTTGAACATTGGTACAATTGTTTGGCGTATCTCTTCCTGTGTTTCCTCGTTCAAGTTTGATGATTTGAGTAATGATTCAAAGGCAGCGAAGAAATCAGTTTTCGAAGCATTTCCGGTGTTGTAGAGTTTAATACTTTTTGTAGTAGTAGTTGTTGTTCCATTTTTGATAGTGGTTCTTTTGATAGGTAGGTTGATTACTCAGTCTATAGATGTATTGTCTAGTTGTTGTTTTCTAATCTTGGCTAGTTTGGCTTTGAGGACTCTTCATCTTTGTTCTCTGTGTTTTCTACTTGACAATGTAATTGCGGTGATCAGCGCTGACAGGTGTTCCTGGTTGAGGGTTTTCTCTAGTTTTTTTTCTTTTTGGACATCTATTATTTGTTCATATTTGTTGATCCGATAATGTGCGTCTGTAATCATTAATTTCATCATTCGTCTTCCACATTGTTGTTGGTTAGTACATATGAGTTCTTGTGGTGTTACTTGTTGAAAATCAATATCTCTGGCTGTCTGTCTTTCTCTCTCCTGAGTTGAAAGGAGTATTTTTAAGGTGTCACTTCATCGACTCCCAGCTTAAATTTAGAGGGGAGTGAAGTGGTGGCAGAGCGTCTTGACCACTTCATTAATTCGGGGAGTTGCATCAGTCTCAATGGTCTGACTGATTTGGGGACGAAATCTTAGCATGAATACAGCAGTTCTGTATGGCACTTAACAACCTGCGTCATCTTTGGCGTAGACGTGATATCAGGCTATCGACCAAAGAATGTTTTCCTTTATGACTGTGAACGACACATGGCTATTAAAAGTGGGAAATATGTGAAGGCTGGATGTATTCGACCACAAATATATGCTGTCTATCTTCCATGTTAGGGTGAGTAATATTTAGGTTAGGCATGGAGTGTTATGTAAGGAGGGTAAGTAGGTTAATCGATGAGGTTGTATAGGTGAATCGATTGAGATGGCTGGGATATGCACGTTGTGCATGCCTGGCTGTAGCTTTCCTCGACGGCGTGTTAGCTGACATAAGATCGATAAGGTTTGAAAAGAGGTAGTGGTGGTCAAACAAAAAGATGGCTTCATCAGTCAGTGAAATCCATAACACAGTTAGTTCGAGCCATTCAATTAGGGAGGTGTAAACTTCCTGGTTAGGTTTCTCACACCCTCAACTAGAGCAGAACACTGGCCCTCTATTTAAGGAAGAAGTAGAGAAACGAATATCTGAGGTTGACAGCAACACTCCTCCTGAGGAAACCTGGCACAACATATAGTTAGCTGTAGACACAGCTATAAAGACTTTTAATAAGCTAAAACCAAAAGTTAGTAAGAGCCACTGGATTACTACTACCTCATCCGAACTGATGAAGGCAAGAAGACTTTTTCCGGTAAGCTCCGATGATGAGGAGCGAAAGCTTCTCAAATGCAAACTAAGAAGAAGTCTTCGCAGCGACCGTGGAACTTCGTTATAAGTAAGTCACACAGCGCGCGCCAGCCTAGACACTCGAGTGGAATCTGTATGGGAAACAGCTAGTTAGGCGTCATTTCAAAGGTGATATAGAGGAGATCGTGTGAGAAGGAGATGAAACCATATTGGCAGGAGTGAAGCCAATTAAAGAGCACTGCGCATAGAAAAGGATGCAACGAAGATTTACTGTCGAAGCTCCAAGTCCCATTGGGAATCTAAGGGAGTTTTTATGATGGAATTTATTAGACAAAATACATGATATATCATATTTAAAAAAACTCAAGAATTGAAGTCACAAATAAATAAATAAATCTGATTGGTTCTATGACATAGTAATTTCTCAGGAAACTAAGCCATATATGAACAAATTGAAAAATATCCAATCAGGTAATCATGTCATTGCATGCATAAATCATGACTTCATGGCTAACATAAAAACTTATAAGTCGAAACACCTCCCTTTCATTAGTTATCGATTGGTAAACAACTAGGGGTCTGTATACTCTCCATCTATGCTAGAAATAATAAGCCTTGATGTACTTAGTATATCTTTTAGCTCATGAAAATTTCTCCAATCCTTTAGTAGATTTCTTCATACACTTATTCGCCATTTATGAATTCTAATAAAGCAAGTACAAGTGTAGTTTGTACAGAATAAGATGGTACCATCATTGTTTGTTTCGTCTACTTCTCATCAGATACTTACAATCTAAAGAAATGAATTAAGGTTATGCACAGAATAATCTCAGACATACTGTCAGTTTTCTCATGATGTTCAGAGTTCAAGTTTAAACATAATAAATCAATATATACATTCACTGACAATAATAACAATAACAATCATTTTATTCACAACAATAATAAATTATACAGAATGGAGTTGTCAACGTTACTTAATCAAATAAAGGAGAGAATGATAACATCTAGTTATCAGAGCTAGAAAGGACTGATATCTGCTTCCTTCTGAATACATAAATCGTGTCTTAGGTGTTTGAAAGAGATTGATTGCTTCAGTAAACTTGAGGAGAATTGAACTCTTTTGCTTATTGATAATTTCGAAGCATGTTACGATGTCCGCCTCATGACCCGTGTTCAAGGAGATGCCTGGCGATGGCACTATTGAAAGCATTCCCTCCCTTTGAGACGTAGAGTTTTTGATACGTGTTCAGAGAATCTGAGGTATGCTATTCTTCCAGTACTCTCAATGTAACTGCTCAAGAGGCAATCGCTCAACAAATATGTAGGAGAAAGTGGAGATGGATGAGGGAATACGTTAAAGAGGCTGTGGAATGATATAGCGCGTAGTGTAGGCTATCGCTCGAGTGGAATCCGGATGGGGAAATAATGGGTAAGGTGTCGTTTTAAAGTTGATATGGAGAAGATTGTGTTAGAATGAGGTGAGAGAGTATGGGGAATCGTGGACTCAGAGGTGGAGGATATCTCCAACATATTCTATTTCGTAATGTGTTGCTGAGGCACTATGTTCCACTTGGAACCCAAAGGAATAATAATAAAATTATACTTACATAATGCTACAGACAACGGGCAATGAGGAAACAGGCATAAAATGGACTCACACAAAGAACTTGGAGGATCTGGACCTCGTCGATGATATATGTCTGATTTCCCACAAACTGGAAGATATGCAAATGAAAAGCAACAAGCTGACAGAAGAAGCATCCAGAGGAGATAGGACTTCAAGTGAAAATAGATAAAACAGAGGTGATGATGAAGATTCCTGGCCAACACCAACAACAACAACAATCAGCCAGCATAAATGGGAGGAACCTGAAAGAAACAATCTCAGGTGGATGATTTTGATGTGGTTTTGTTCTCTGAGCTGGATGGTTAATTTGCGAAGCTGGCTGAAGATGTCACCCAGTAGGGTGATGAAAGCATCGCAAATTAACCATCCAGATCAGAGAACAAAACCACATCAGAAACAACCTCCTCTACCTACCTACCTGGGAAGCATCGTTTCAACTACAGGCCGACGGAACTGACGAGGATATCAAAGCCAGAATTGGAAAAGCAAGACAAGCTTTCACTACTCTCAAGTCTGTGTGGAACTCAACAGAACTACTCACCATCAAAAATAAGATCCGGATTTTCAACTCCAATGTGAAGCTAGTCAGTGCTACTATACGCATCAGAGACCTAGCGCGTCATAAAGAGCATCTCAAACAAACTTCAGACATTCATTAACAATTGTCTTCCCCCAATACTACTCAAGATCAAATGGCCGGCCAGAAAAGATCAGCAACAGGGATCTCTAGCAGTGAGCGAACCAACCCAGCAGGAACCGATTGTGCAACAAATAAGCAGGAAGAAATGGAGATGGATTGGCTAGCCATACTCTGAGGAAACCATCAAGTGAGTGACATCACTAGAAAAGCCATTGCTCGAGTGGAACTGAACCGAATGGGAAGCGGCGAGTTGGTCGTGCCACGGTGGGGTGACTTGGAGGAGGTCGTGTGAAGAGGAGATGAAAGCATGTGGGCAGACTTGGAGCCTGGTGATGAAAAAGTTGGCAGAAAACTGAAGGCAATGGAGACGTGTGGCTGAAGCCCTATGTTCCTCTAGGAATTAAAGGATATAATAATAATAATAATTACATTACTAATTACTAATGTAATTGCCCCCTCAGACACATTTGAATTTGTA